TAAGGAGACCCCCCCCCCCAAATAAAAAGGGCAAAAGGGTACTACTGGGAAACCTAGTTCCTTGCTTGAGGCTCCAAAAAGCCCCTAAAACCCTTCAGGTTGTAAGACTTAGGCTATGGCCTTTAAGGCACAAGGAAGCATGTATGTGTACGTAGCTGTGTGTGTGTGTGTGCGTGTGTGTGCGCGAATGTACATGTACATTCCCACCCTCGGTTCTTGTGATTGAAACTATGCTCGGGGGCAGATTCGTGGGACTTCCTGTATGAAAGGGCCTACAGGCCGTAGTCAATACAGGACCCTAAACCCTAAACCCCTAAACCCTAAACCCCTAAACCCTAAAACCTGGTGTAGTCTCGCCTGTGACCCGCCATGAACCTTCCACTAGACGAAAGGTCTCAACGCCGTACAATCCAAACCCAGAACGTGCGTAGGAACTCTAAACCCAAAACCCAGCCACGGTTTAGGGTTTAGGGTTTAGGGTTAACCCCTAAACCCTAATGATTTGCTCACGAATCCTGAAGCTGCAAAACATGCGGTATTGACAGCTCTGAACTCGTAGGTAGGGCATGCGCCTGCTTGAGAGTCTTCTGCCTGGATTGCCTAAATCTAGGTTTTACCCAGCAGATGACCCAGAAATGCAGCAGGTTTAAAGGCACCAACATCTTTACAAGTTAGTGTTTAAGGAGATTCGAGGAACTCGATCGGAGCTCAACACTGGGGTTTGATAAGGACTTCTGCCTGGCTCTGTCAGTGCTTAAATAATAAACCCTAAACCCAAAACCCTAAACCCTTTAAATAAAGGCTGTATGGGGGTTTAAATGCTTAGGGTTTCTATCTGTTTTGACCGTCACCTCCCAACACGAGACTTTCCCTGAAAACCGCGTACCGCTACCAAACCTCACGACTCGTCTGAACATCGGAAACCTCAAGCAACTCTACTTTGCAGGGGCTTGGGGAGGAATATTAGAAACACTAAACCGTATTTAAACCCTAAGCCCCTCCACGAACCCCTAAACCCTAAACCCAAAACCTCTAAACCCTAAACCTCTAAAGGCGCCTAAACTCCTAAAAAGCTCCTCCTAAACCCTAAACCCCTAAACCCTAAAACATCCCCTGCATTTTCTGAGGCTCCAGCCCCCTCCCGGCTCAGCTGAGGCAGAGGAAACAAAAGGGAGGGGACTTTTGGTTCGGGGAAAGGTCCCACGATTCGGGCGTTTGAGAGGTTTTAGGGTTTTTAGGGGTGTAGTGATCGGCTGACAAAGACTGATGGCAGAGTAACGATGTCGGAATCTGAGTCCGCGCTGCTCAAGAAAAACCTAGGGTTTGTGGGTTTATGAGGTCTAGGGTTTAGGGGTTTTAGGGTTTTGAGGGGTTTTAGGGTTTAGGGCTTTCGGGTTTTAGGGTTTAGGGAGCGCAGAGATTCCATCCGTGTGGGAGCGGGTTGAATCATTGAAGAACGGTCTGATTAGGATTTAAAGGGGTCTGGGGGTTGAGGGTTTTGGGGCTTCAGGGCCTTTGGGGTTTGTGGGAGAAAGGGGTTCAGGGTTGGTGTCTGGGGGCTTTGGTCTCAGGCTTTGTGCGTCAAAGCTTTGGGGTTTCTTGTGCCCTCTCCCCTTCCCCCCCCCGCCCCCCCAATACTTCATGAGAAGTGCCGCTAAACCCTAAACCCTAAACCACTATGTGAGTTTCCCCGGGTTGCAACAGGTCATATCGCTTGCCCGGCAAGCAGCGAAACAGGGGACAGCGAACGAGGCACTCCGGCGCGCACAAACCGTAGCACCCCTGAACAAGGCCACGCCCCTAAAACACCAAGCCACAAGCCATGCCTCAAGCTCCGAAAGACCCTAAACTCTGCAACCTAAAGCCAAGCCACACTATACATAAGCACCCAATATGAGCTTGAACACCCGTCCAAGCACTTAGAATCATGGTTCATGGTCGCTGTGTACGGAAAAGCAAAACTCACCCAAGAAAGAACCAAAAACCCACATAAACTCACCAAAACAGGATCCCTACACCCTACACGCCGAAGACCAAACCCTAAAACCCTAAACCCCCAAACCCAAAACCCTAAACCCCAAAACCCCAAACCCCAAAACCCTAAACCCCCAAACCCAAAACCCTAAAACCCTACACCCTAAACCCTACACCCTAAAACCCTAAAACCCTACACCCTAAAACCCTAAAACCCCCCAAAAAGAGGGATCTCAGGCCGCAGCTGAGGCTCGCGTTGAGCATCCAG